TATATATATATATATATATAAAGTAAGTTAGTTAATATTATTAATGTTATTAACGTTACTTAACATTATTAACTTAAATTCTAAAATATCTTAGACATTAAGGAAGAGATGAAAGTGTCTCAGACAAAAGTTGTTAAAAGTTGTTATTTGACCATAACATCATCTTGAGAAATATATTGTCAAGATCAGTCTTAGTTTTTTAAATAAAATTATATGGTTTTTTAACATAAATCAATTTATACAATTATTTAGCATATACAAGCTCTAAGATAAAATCATCGAAAACTAAATACTTTCTAAGATATTTTGCATTTTATCCTGATACTTTAGAGTATAAGATATAAAATATTAACATTTTTGTATGTAGAATGATGGATAAAATCAATGGTTATAAAAGAATATAGAGAATTTTAAGAAAAAATTGTATTTACAAATTCATTGATATATGCAAAAATTGATATGACTAATATGCAAAGATTGGTATGACTGATTAATTCCTCTCATCATCCTATTATAAAAGTATTAAAGTGTTAGAAAATAGACAATTTTATCTCAGTACTTTTATACACAGAATAACTAAATGAAGCGATTTATGTTAGAAAAATTATATTTCATTAAAAAAATTAAATTTGACTTTGACAGAATTTTTTTCAAAGTTAATCTCTAAATCAAATAAATATTATCATCTTTTTCTCCTCGATATCCTAAAATTTTTGTTGGAAATACTTTTTCATATCTTTCTTCGTTTGCGAGGTATTTTAGGACATTACTTGACTCACTCTCACTCACTCTCTCGCGCGCTCTCTCTCTCTCTCTCTCTCTCTCTCTCTCTCTCTCTCTCTCTCTCTCTCTCACACGCATACGCACGCACGCACGCACGCACACACAGTATGCAAAGATACTCCAGACCTCACAATCTTAATTTTATCTGAAAATTCTTTGAGTAATTTAGAAAGAATTTTTCTTTATCGAATTTTTGTTTATTACGTCGAGTAAGATCATTATTCACGACTTTTTAATTTCCAGCTAATATACTTTTGTAACTAAGATCTGAAAAATGAACCTCTGTTAAAATCTACTTCAAATTGATCGAAGAAAATAATATTATCATTTATTTGGTCGTTCAAAGTTTAGTCTATGAAAAACTAAGCTTTTTTTATTGTTTATATTTCGAAAACTATCAACGTCTCCATGTCTTCGCTGATAAAAAATTAATTCTAAATTACTCAGAGAACCTCTCGGTAAAATTGAAGTACGGAGATTTGGAATATTCTAGATCAGAGCTAGGAATTAGTTGCCTATTTCTGCCGATTCTCGGGAGCTACGCTTTCTATCTCCCCTTGCCGTGAGCGGGTCACAAAAGTGACGATCGAGCCTCCAAACTTGAAGCCGCGACTGACTGCGACCGTCATTTTCATGGCCCGCTCGCGGCAAGGGGAAATAGAAAGCGTAGCTCCCGAGAATCGGCCGAAATGGGCAACTAATTCCGAGCTCTATTCTAGACACATGTATATGTAAAAGTATATTTAACATGTATATGTGAATGTATATGTAAAAATATATTTTTATTTTACATACATGTGCAGTGTACTCGAGATTAAGGGTTTTCTCTATCATTTCCCGAAGGACGTCGATCTGCCCAACAAATTTTTCCCCTAATAAGTTGTGTGCAATTTCATGTGTGTCATTTACTGTACGGTGACAAAATTGCGAGAACATTGAGTAGATATCCTGCTTATCGTTCGCCTGATTAACCATGGCAACCATCCTCGCCAGCAACATGATTGTTGCAGTCTCTGGTGGATAATGCATTTGTTTCCATGTTTCATTTAATTGGGTTAGAGGATGACTCTCGTCCTTAACTCTCGATTGGAGGCATAATGTGCTGTGATATCTGAAATACCCATACAGTAAATAAATGAATACATATATGCATACAGTAGATGAATGCCAAAGTTGGATAAATTAAATATTCTTTTTAACTAGTTAAGTTTAAAAGTAAAAAGTTTAAAATTGTGATGATCTATAAAAAACTAAATTAAATTAAAAATTATACAAAGAAAGAGTGATTTAATTAAAAGTCAAGTTAAAATACAATTATTGATTAAAAAGTTTATTATGTAAAATAATGTGCGCGCGCGCGCGCGCGTGTGTGTGTGTGTGTGTGTGTATGTGTGTGTGCAGAATGGCCCATGTGCAGTGTTACAAGCTAATAACTCTAAACATATTTGTTTTATCAAAAAGTTGTTCATGAGAAAGTTTCATATATTCGAGGGACCTTTCTAACTATGTAAACAAAAATCCACTTTTGTCCCCCCTTGAAGAGGGGCGGGGGTAACTTCAAAGTTTCAAATGGGATCCCCTATACAATGTTACATATTTGGATTCTACGGGAAAAAACACGTAAACTTTGTCGGAAATATTTCTTTGGAAAATGCTCCTATCAAAAGTTATAAACATTTAAACTTTAATGTAGAGTGTATTGAAATTAATGATAAATTAAGTAAGACTCATAGTTTTTCTGTTTTGTTTTATTTTATTAAATGTTTGAACTGTTGACCATTAACATCTAAACACTTATTAATTCTTTTTACAAAACTTTACCTAACTCTAAACAACATTTCTGGGATCACCTTAGTGCAAGCTGTACGTATTCTTCGTTTTAGATCTTCCTTCATCGTAAGTGGTTGAGATGTGACTTCCTCTTTGATATACCCCCATAAAAAATAATCCAAAGGATCAATAAAATGGCTAAAAGTTTAAATGTTTATAACTTTTGATAGGAGCATTTTCCAAAGAAATATTTCAGACAAAGTTTACTTGTTTTTCCCATAGAATCAAAATATGTAACATTGTATAGGGGATTCCATTTGAAACTTTGAAGTTACTCCCTGCCTCTCTTCAAGGAGGGACAGAAGTGGATTTTTGTTTACGTAGTTAGAAAAGCCCTTCAAATATATGAACCTTTCTCATGAACAACTTTTTCATAGGACAAATATGTTTAGAGTTATTAGCTTGTGACACTTTACACTTGACATTACCATCCTGTATATAATTATATATATTTCTTTATATAATCAACTTTGTATAATCAATTTTAATCATAAATTCAATTTATGTGGAATAATGAAAAAATTGTTTTTTATAAAAAATACTGACTGTATTCAGGATTCCATATAAGAACATTAATATTCAGAGAGTCAAAAAGATTTTGCTGGCATTATTTCTGGTTTTTCTTATTCTATATTGTGAGTGGTCTGCAATAATTTTAGTATTGATGAATTATTTTAATTTACATAAAGAAGAAGTTAAAGTTAATACATTTTAAAATAATTAATTTAAGTTAACTAGTCAGTTACTTGTTTCTCTTATGCCCATTTCTACTAACTTTGGTTAACTTATCCGGTTGGTTATTCCAATGAAATTGATTAGTCGCATTTATCAAGTCTGATTAACAAGAAATGTAATTAATCAATTCCATTAAAATAACCAACCAGTTAAGTTAACCAAAGTTGGTAGAAACAGGTATTAGTTAGATGACTCATTTAGCATTAACCAAGATTAAAGTTATTAATTTCTCAACTTAAATTACAACTGATTGATCAGTTATATCATTCAACCTTTATAATTTATAATCACCTCTGAAATGCCTCATCCTGACATTCTCTGCTACAATATTTAGTCCCACATGTGGGACACTCAGTCATCAGACTCTTATTTGTTTCACAGCATTCGCTATGAGGCAGAGTAATGTTTGGATTTCCTGTTAGCCTCTGAGCATTTTCCTCAGCAGTTTCCAGTGGCCTCAGGCAATGATCACAAGCTAAATATCCATAGTCAGAGTTCCATGAGAACTGGCAACAGACTACAGGTTTTTCCTCCAATATGACATCTCCTTCCTTGTATGCACGTTTAGAAAACAGCCCTTTGCCCTGTAACACACCGGATACAAATTAACATTCAATATCACACAAGTATATCTTCAATTATGAAATTCTGCCTGAATTCTGATTGATTTTTGTAGAGAAAAATTTCATGGTGAGTTATGGAATTGACATGTGTAACTAATTAACATCCCATCTTACCTTCTCGTTGTTCACTATCTTGATAAAAAAGTCCTTGCTCTCCATAACTGTGTCTAAGATTATAGTGGCGAGCAAGGCAATCAACAAAGAAAAGACCCACCTAAACTCGCATTCAAATTCTAACCCTCGAACACATGTCAATAGCCATGAAGGCTTGTCACGAACGTACCATCAAGTTCAAAACGACTACTCTCATTGAGACCCTCGTATTTCTCAATGAACACATATCTCGCGACAAAACTTCAAGTAAATATAAAATTCCTATTATATATATGAATCATTGAATTTATTTATTGAATGCAATCGCTGATATGTACTCACGTTTGTACCAGCAGTTGATAAGTATCGCAACTTCCGACATGTCTTTGATTCGAGAAACGTCGTAGCGTGCTTCTCCTACTTCCTTTCGAAGAAAAGTGTATCGAAAGCGCGAGTGAGGGACGTGTGTGTCTCTGGTGGGTTGGTGAGGATTCTCTCCCAAATTCTTGGACGCTCATCTATTTTCCGCGATACTGCTGAAAGGAACGATGAACGGGACGATGGCGATGGTTAGTGATTTTGCTTCGTTAGTCCATTCGCGACGAATATTGCCTTACCTTCACCGCGATTAACCGCCCGCAGTATGATGGCGGTTGTAAAATTATGTCTCTTACGTCGCCCAGTCACCGTGACGGCCTACATGTGTGTGGATTTTTCGCACAATAGTCGAACTAAGTTACACTGTGTTCGCCGAGAAACACGAGTGTATCCGAGAATGACAGTATTAGAAATTCATAAGAAATAGCAGAACAGATTGACATTATCGATCTTTTTTTTTTACACTTAGAGGTAGTTGTATTTTTGGCAACTTGAGAGTGATTTTCCTCTAAGAATGAATATAAAAAAGACCAAACGCAGCCTGTATCAGGGTTAGACGTTAATTATAATACACATCAATGATAGTGTAGATAACAATGTGTAGATAAACTATGGATGAGATGTCTGTACAGACCATAAGTAATTTATGAATGTTTAGAAAATGTATGGCTTGCTCAAAAATTAATTTAAAAAGTTTATATTTTTATTTAACCTTTAGAATTTTTATGTAAATTTACGAATTTATAGAATTTCCTAATCACACTCTTCTAACTACTAAACTACTAAGTACTTAAGTACTAAGTAATTAAGTCAGATAATCTGTCACATAAAATAAAAATTTCATGCAATTTATCAAAATATTACAATTATAGTTAATAGTCAAAATAGATAGGATAACTTTTAAATTTAATTATCCTTTTTTGTTTATTTCAATATAATTCAATTAATATATAATAATATGGAATTATATATAGTATTATATATATAATAATAGTATAATATTGCATATAAAATTCAAATTAATATATAAATATAACAATTTTAAATTTTATATAATATAAAAAATGTTCTATATAGTTTATAGTATATATAGTTTATAGTTCTATATAATTTACAGTGTCTATATATGAAAAAGTACTTTGTATTATGTAAACAATTTGTGTAGATATTCTTGAAATCTATGGCACAACTCTGGGCCTGTAATATCTATCATTTACTTCTCTTGACTTTTCTCAGCATGATTTCTTGATGCTAAGTGTCATTGGATTTTTCTTCATTTGTAGGCACCGACATCACAAAACAGCACAGAACCGCCAAACAAGAAGGCCAAGCTGGAAGGTAAATTGCTAATGCAGCTAAATACCTGCTATGTGTGTAATCACTAAAATATTGTATGTATAATTGTGTTAGAATGGGAAACACAATGAACACAGTGAACCAACAGCAAGTGTATCACATATATATACCTATATGTATATATATATATATATATTTAAAAGCGAGAACATGACGAGACAATAAAATATAGCTATTTTACATAGGACACTCAGGTGCTAGTTTTGTCTTAAATGCTGCCAGACTCTATAAACTGCAGAATGGTCTGAATTCAGAAGCAGTTTGAACATAAAAATTTTGGTAGGCTAGGGTAATAGATGATTGTTGTTGGCGCTAAATCACACTAATGTATGGTTGTCCTTTTGTTCTGAGATGTTACAGCGGAGAGACAGTACAGAATCCGTGGCCTACGACTGAGCTGTGATCATGAGCGTGCGCCAAACAAAGAAAGAGCTCTCTACATTCGTTGAACAGAACAAATCAGAGTTTTAACAAACTCCCACTGATACTGCATCTATTGTCGAGTACCAAATATGATGCGTATTTTAGATAGGTCAGCATTTTAGGGTAGTTTCTCTGATCCCGATTACGAGCCTCTCCTATCTGTGAAACACTAGCTTTATTTCGGGCAGAGAGAGAGAGAAAGAGAGAGACAGAGAGAGAGACAGAGATGAATTTCATCTTGAAATTTTTGTCACAGTACCTGTAAAATATTGTCTGCATTAATTGAGAGACACTACGGTCCTTACTCTGAACTCTTTTTTATCGATAAAAGTTCCTCTAAATGTTCTTATAAACCAATCAGAAGGCTTCTAAGTTACATTTAGAGGCACTTTCATCAATAAAAAGGAGTTCAGATTAAGAACTTATGGCTTCGAACGTGTGATTGTTCCATGGCATTGTCGGTATAGTAACAAAACCTAAGAGTAGCGAATTTTGAAGTGATTCAGAGGCTCATAATCGACAGTGGCAATGGCGAAGGGTGTATGTTGAAGGTGCCGTTTAAGAGAATCCATCCATTTGCATTTATGCATCTCAGATATTAGTAATAAGTCAAGCTCCAACACTTGGACGTCGATATAGCCATCGATGTCGCTTAATGACACCCACGTATACACGCTGTTCATTCTCCCTTCGCTTCATCTCCCCCCGTGATATCTCGTTTTGTTCCATCATCGCTACGCGGAATGACAGTGCGATGATCGTCTTTCTCTTCGCGCGCTGTTTTCGAGGCACGTTATAACGATGTCCGAGTGTGTACAACGTAGGTGATATCTATACATTGAGAAATTGAACTGTGATACGGATATACCTTTGATATCACGACCACATCGGCTGGTCTTCTTCGATCTGACGTCATTCGTACTAATCATGGCAAAAAAGAGACAGAAAGAAAAATTAAAGAAATTCACGCGTACCCTACGCCTGCGTCGACTACGATCTCGCCATTGCTACGCGACAAGTGTTAGGCTTAATTAACGTGGTAGGTTGGAAAAGGCAGAGACTAAGAACATGGCGCAGAAAATGCACTGAGAGTATTCTCCTTTGCTTTGTGCTTACAGATTTGAGTGCGTCGCCTCAATCTCGGATAATTTGCGCACAACCGTCATTGCTCAGCCCATGAACACGGTTAGCTGTTAATCGAATATATGAGTCCTTAATTCACAAATAGTCGAGCGAACGTACTTTAAACGAACGAGACAGGGAAATCTTCTTTTTTCACGACAAACGCTACAACGTGTTCTGATTTCTGTTTCAGAGACTAGCAGACCAAATTGGTTAGGATCGTATGAAACCTAATCTAATGAGTAGTATGATTTTCGGGGCTGATTGTGCAAATAAACCGCATAAACTAGAGACTTTGATCTTACGATACCTTGCTCGGCTAATGATTTAATCGTGTCGCATTTGTTTCATGATACACATATTTATACAGGGTACTCTGATGCAAAGTGTTCCATACCCCGTGTACATGTAGATTAGATCGAACGGAACACGAAATTCTTACATTATTTTGCAAACAATCGCGTAAAATTTTGAGTTATTAAGTTAAGGAAGATTGGCAAATGATCACGCGTAATACGGCAGATGGATGAGCTGTGATAGTGACGCCTGCAGTCATGTGTGTGCTTGTAGATTAGGTCAAATTAAATAAAAGAAAGTCCTATTTTACCAATAACCACGTAGATTTTTTAGTTATTAATTAAAGAAGATCAACGGGTAATCGCACGCGCTAAATACACCAATGTTCTTTAATAAATAACTAAAAATCTATGTGGTTATCCGTAAAATGGAGAGAATATTCGCTATATCGCGCGTGCTCGCACTCGCTGATCTTCTTTAATTAGTAATTCAAAATTTCACGTAGCTGTTTGCGCAAAATAGTAGGGGAATTTTGTATTCAGTTTAATCTAGTCGACATGCACACGAGGTATGGGACATTTTGCGTCAGACATTCTGTATGTATCTCTTGGATTGTGGTTCGTCCGCGCGTTCTCTCGCGAGTTGCGTCACTTCTGACAGTAATCTCCGATAAATTTCTTACCTGTGGTCTTCCAATCGAACACATCTTGTTGTCTTCCAAACAGTATCGAACGAGGGATACGCATATCTGTATATCTCTCCGTTTCGATGCGTGCGCTTATATGTACAAATATGTCACAGTTTCCCACATATACACACCACGTACGTGCCACTACAGTCACACGTTACACGCACTGACATACGCAAAAATACGCTTACGAAATGGATGTGATGAAGAGTTTGTAATATTCCTTGATCGTTTTAATTTCTGTGAACTTACAGTTCGGAGGACGTGTACGGTTTTATCATAGCGGCTGATATCTGGCACGGCACCCATTGATCCCATGTTAAAAAAGAGAAAAAAAAATATTCCATTTATAAATAGGAATAAAACATGTGTTTGCATAGCTTCAATGCGACTAGCTGAAACTTCACTAGCCTAGGGCGATAGGTCGTCAAGCTGTTACACAGATCGGTTGAGGCAAACTCCCGCGATTTCCGATTGTTGATATATTAGCAATCATAGAGTTATTTTATATTGAGAATGTATCAAAGAGAGACAAAATCTCGTTTCTCTTTTGAGCAACATGAGTTACGAGATATAATGGCCACCGAAGGTTTGCTGACGAAAAAGCAATCCCAAATTCGTTAAATTGAGATCACTAAAAGATGACTCACTGGTGTAATTCGTCTATATATCGTATCTGAAGATGATATGTTTCAAGTATTCTTCTGATACTTGTCTACATTGATGCGAATAACTATCTAACGCATGATTTCTTCGTAGGAAATGCAACAGAGTTCTTATCAGGGCCCATATATGATCTCAATCAGATAGGTCAGGTTGTTGCTGGTACGTATAATACATATAACATCTCTTATTATTTTCCATTAAATATATAAATATGCAATAAGTGCATATACTTCGTTACATTAGATATATATTTAATATATTCCTCTTTTTAAAAGTATTATTATTTGTAACATTCTTTTTATACATTTTACTATTTTATATTAAAGTTGAATTAATTTGCACGAAAGAAATTCGTAAATGATGTATAATATCAATAGTGACTTTATCTTTGAAGTCTGTTCAGTTTAAGCTATATTGAACATTGACATACAAATTTAATGGACATCCTGCTGATAAGATCTGATACAAATGTATACTTTACGCTTTTTTAAATTGTACTATAGACCGAATTTAATTTATCTTACGTCCTATAGGGCCTGGCGCTAAGTATCTGACACTGCCTGGAATATTAGGAGCTGGTCTACCAAAAATCACATCTGAACAGCAGGATACGGTAAACAGGGCGAAGAAGTATGCGATGGAACAAAGCATCAAAATGGTCCTCATGAAACAAACATTGGCCCATCAACAACAGGTAATTTCTGGATTTAATATGTTACATTATCAGAGTTGAGTAAGTCTTATTCAAAATAAATAATTAAAAAATTAAAAGTAACACAAATATATATATATATATATTGAAACAAAATTATTTATTTTTCATTGTTCTGTTTTAATTTTTATTTAAATAAAAACTTATTTGAAATAATACTCAATTCTCTGCATCTATTCCATTGTGTGATTCTTCCAAATTTTAAACGCTATATGATGCGGAGTTACACTGTATAAACGATTACATTTAACGTTTGAAAATGGAAATTTGTGTTTTGAATTTTTTTGAATTTGTTTTATTTAAGAGTACAAACAATTGGGTATAGGATGTGTAACAATCATACCGAATTTGCTTGTTAAAAAAAGTAAAAGTAACAAAATATTGGTGAAATTAAACTTTTAATTTATCAAATTTTTTGCCACTCATTGAATTTGGTGGTTGAATATAACATACATAAAGTTTTAGAATTTACACATTATATGGGATATATATAAAACAATAATAATAATTGCATGTATAATTTTATATATATATATATATATACATACAGGGTGGGCCATTTTATTCAATACACGTAAAAACCTCAAAAAGGAGAAATTTTTTCAAAAAATGTTTCAGACAAAAGTTGTCGGGTTCAGAGGGGGACATCTGAAGGTGACCTTGACTTTGACCTCGGAGCTCATTCTGAAAATTATTCGAAAGTCAACTTTGCATTTTAAATAGAAACATTAATTTTTTTTTACGGAATTTTATTCTTCGTGAAGAAACTAACAACTTTTGTCTGAAACATTTTTTGAAAAAATTTCTCCTTTTTGAGATTTTTGTGTGTATTGAATAAAATGGCCCACCCTGTATATATAAAATTATATATATAATTATTCAATATATAATAAAACGTTAATATTAAACTATTTCTCCTCTGTTCAGCTTTTTACCAATTATTACAAAATAGTAATAAGACGATTTCACATTTGCTTTCGATTTATTTTAAGAAAAGCTCGTCCCGCCGAGTCGCATCAAATCATAAAATTACAAAGAATCAAAAACGGAAGTTGAAAGAGAATCAATTCTGACTAGTTGATTTTTTCTCCCTGCAGAAAAATAGATTGGTCCTGCGGCAGCAAGTTTTGTTGCTAATGTGCAGGTTAGTGTCAAGCAAACGAAATCAAGACAGAAACCGATAAATTCGCCCTACGATCCAACACTTCTAAACATTTCCCTAAGTTACTACCGTAAGAGAAGAAGTTAGCTACAATCTTAAGATAATATAGTCGGCGGGAGCGGAGCTGAGGACTCGAAGGAGGACAAGTTTCCGTGCAGAAATCTCTTTGGATAAATTTCACATGCACTTCTGAGTTCGATTATCCTTCTGTTTGGAAAATCAACTAAATTTAAAGAGAAATTTTGATGAAGATTAACTTTAACCTGAATATATACAAATGTTTGAAGTAAAAAGAAAATAATTTGAAAGACGGATGCTATATATTCTTTTTTTTTTTTTTTTTTTAGAGAGAGAGAGAGAGACATTCTAT